CACACACACACTCACTCTCTCTCTCTCTCTCTCACACACACACACACACACACACACACACACACAAACACAAACACATACACATGCACACACATATACTCACAAACACACAGACATGGACAAACACAATCACACACACAAACACAAGCAGATGTATAAATGAATAGGTTAGGAGAGAAACCAAGAATAAAAGAAAGGACCAGAGAAAGGCAACGAAGGAATAGAGAAAGACACAAGAAGTGGAGAGGGACAGAGCCTAGAGAGGTAGAAAGAAAGGTACACTGAGAAAGTGAAGGGCTAGAGATAGGGAACAGCAAACGGGAGACCGATTTTTTTTAAAGAGAGAGAGAGAGAGAGAGAGAGAGAGAGAGAGAGAGAGAGAGAGAGAGAAGAGAGAGAGAGAGAGAGAGAGTACCATTACCTCAGCGACTTCTCTCCAGGTCAAACGGTTTTCGTCGACGAGATTTGGAGAGCAAGATCGAGACGAAATCGGGTCGAGGACATCTTCTAACCTGAGACCAATTTGATAAAGATTTAACACAAGTATAAAGTAAAGCGGCATCGAGTTTTTTTAAACTGAGAGTAATAATGATGAGCTCTAAGCCAAGCTGTTGTACACAGAACACACACAAGTCCGATTCCAGCCAAGCAAAGTCTGTTATCGCGTATCTCCATCTTTCTTCTTGGATGCTGTATCCCCTTTCACAGGGTCGATCACCCTTAATCCTAAATGATATCAATTATTGTGTAGTTGAAGGGAGCATCAAACCTGCAAGCAAAGGGGAGTAGCTGAGGAATCGTCTATATTATTATCTAAAGAGCATGCGTTGCGTCCCTTTATCCTTTAAGCTGCGATACGGGACAATATTAATAAAATGTAATTCTTTATACTTCACCTGTCTCTTGCGATATCACTTGGTTAGAAAAAAAAGTGAAGTTCTATTTCATCGTGGGAAAATTGTGTTTAAAATGGTCTACATAAACATAGATGCATTAATAAACGCATACAACGGTTAGCAACTTACACTTTGTGTCACACCAATGCAGACAGTCAACGTGGGTGGTTGGCGGGTGCTCTGGTTTGCTCCTTCTTTCCTATCAAACATCTACCCCCCTGATCACCCCTCTTTCTTTTTTGTGTTTGTTACTCTTTTGTAACACCTCTAATCTTCAGCACTTAAATGATCTTATTGTGTTTAAAGTGTCGTAAAACATTTAATGAAACTAAAAACAATCGACAAGTCATTGTCAATCGTCACTATGTAAAGCCTAGTTTTTTTAAACTAAAGTAATCGTGTCTATCTCAAGAACACACCCCATGCATCCTATCAAACATCTACCCCCCTGATCACCCCTCTTTCTTTTTTGTGTTTGTTACTCTTTTGTAACACCTCTAATCTTCAGCACTTAAATGATCTTATTGTGTTTAAAGTGTCGTAAAACATTTAATGAAACTAAAAACAATCGACAAGTCATTGTCAATCGTCACTATGTAAAGCCTAGTTTTTTTAAACTAAAGTAATCGTGTCTATCTCAAGAACACACCCCATGCGTTCCAGCACAAATGCCGTGCCATTATTGTAAGCCTTAACTCATATTATATAAAAACCTTGCTCCAAGAGCTGTTAGATGGTGTATCATTGTTACCATAATATACAGGGGTTTATGGTGAAGAGGTTAAGCTCTTCGCCGTAATGCCCAAAAGATGAGGGTGCGATTTTCTATTGGGGAGAATTTCTATCGAGGCAGGGGGGAACAGGCAGAGTTAAAACGGCCCACCTCCATTTAAAGTAAAGTAAATCGTGTCGATGGGGGTGTAAAACACTTGCAATTAAGAATAAGGTAAAAGAATAATAATAAGCTTCATGTAATGTGCATGATCAAAGAACCGCCCCCCAAACAAACAAACAAACAAACAAACAAACAAACAAACAAACAAACAAACAAACAAACAAACAAACAAACAAACAAAATAAACAACAACAAACAAACAACAACAACAAACAACCAACCCCCCCCCCAAACCCCCCCCACAAAAAAAAACAAGTAAAAAAAACCCCCAACTTCAACAAAAAACAAAAAAAACACACAAAACACCCGCAGCAAATCATGACGATTCTGACAGGTCATAGGTTATCTCACCTTTCAGACCAAGCGCCAGGGCTGGGCACCACAGAGTTCCTGTCTGTCTTCTTGTTTTCTGACGATTCTTTATCAAATCCGAGGTGAGCAGCCCTAACTTCGTCACTGTTGTTGCTGTTCCCGGTCCCGGGCGTGAGTTTCTGTAGCCCGTGAGTGAGAGAAGCGAAGAACTGGCTCACTTGCTGGTCGTCAGGTTTGTGGTGCAGACGGAGGATGGCCACGGAGACCACGACACTGAGCGCTGTGAAGCCTAGTAGGGCTGTCAGGTACAGGGCTAGCACGGACGTCTAAACATGACAACAGAAAGAGGGAAAATGAGTGCGTGTGTGTGTGTATTTGTGTGTGTTTTTTGTTTGTGTGTGTATTTGTGAGTAGCTATATGTGTGTGTGTGTGTGGTTGTCAGGTACAAGGCTAGCACGGACGTCTGAACATGACAACAGAGAGAGGGAAAATGAGTGTGTGTGTGTGTGTGTGTATTTGTGTGTGAGTATTTTTTTGTGTGTGTATATTTATGAGTATGCTTATATGTGTGTGTATGGTTGTCAGGTACAGGGCTAAAACTGACGTCTAAACAAGACGACAGAAAGAGGACAAATTAGTGTGTGTGTATTTATGTGTGTGCGTATTTGTGTGTGTATGCGTGTGTGTGTATGTGTGTGTTTGTTTGTTTGTGTGTGTGTGTGTGTGTGTG